CACCTCCCCAAACCCCACCCCCTACCCCCAAATATAATCCACTCTGCTCTGCTTTTTAAAGAGAAGATTTGTTTTGTTTTTCACAATGTTTAAAGTTCCATAATGTTTTCTTGACATTATGTAAAGTTTTTCTTGTTAAGTGTTAGGTAGGCTGCTCCTATTGTGTTTGTGTATGTTGTTTACAATTATTTATCTTTATGATGTTGTTGATTAGTTTAAGACTAAAATTGTTCCGTTTATGGAGGAGGGTAACTCACTCTACCAGGATTTTTTTTTCTGGTCGTGTGTAATGGGAAAGCTCATCTTTCCTAAAATATTTCAACTTCTCTTTGGACTTCAGTGTAGTCTTTGGAAAATCTTATCTGAGTGTGTCTTGCTCTTCTACACTTGTAGTAATTCTTACTGGTTCACAGTTTGGTTTCAGACCCATTTCCTGCTGACTGTTGCACTCTCTTTATCCTGGGTGGGACAAGGAAGGCAGTGTCTCATCTCTATGCAGTTGGTTTCTCAGGTTTGTAGCCTGATGGGAATCTTTCCTGCATGAACATGACTCTTATAAATGTTACGCTTGTCTCTTTGGTGGCACTGGTGCTCAGAGTAGCCAGAGATCAACTTGTCTCTGGTTGCACTCTCTCTGTATGTTATGGGGTCCAAAATCAATAAGATATGACATTTACTTAGATGTTAAGACAGAGAAGGTGAGAAAATGACGGTACAACCACTACACGCTTGGAGCACAGACTAAGAAACAAGGTCCTGGGGTTCCACTAGCTTTTATTTTATTTTTTTTAGATTTTATGTTGTCTTTGTTTTTGAGAAAGGAAGTGAGTGACTAAAAATTTTAATTTTGTTGTGCTAGCAATATGGTGTGTCAAATGTGATAATGGTTACGCACGGTGGACAGTGTTTGGTGGAGCTCCCTGATTAAAACAAGCTTGGAAGCAGTAGTGGCATTCACTTCCAAATTAGCTTGCCTCCGGAAACCCAATGAACTTGGAGAAATGATGAAAGTTATAAAAGGGTTCAGGTCTTTCGTTCATAGAGTCACTAAGAGTCACCTACGACTCGACAGCAATTAACAACAACAACATAAAGAGAGCTCAGTTGGCCCAGTGGGCAAGAAGTAATGCTACCAAGCCAAAGGTGGATGATTTTAATCTGTGGCACTCAGGCCTGGTTTTAATTGTTTTAATCAAACATCCATCTAAGTCGTATAGCACTGATCTGTCTATTTGATCTACAGAGGTATCTCGTGGTAGCTGTAATACTAAACACTGTGACACTGATAGTAAAATGTGATAATGGTTACCCATGGTGGACAGTGTTTGGTGGAGCTCCCTGATTAAAACAAGTTTGGAAGTAGAATTGACATCCCCTTCTGAAATAGCTTGCCTCCGGAAAACCTATGAACTTGGAGAAATGATAAAAGTTATACAAGTGTTTAGGTCTTTCATTCATAGTTATAATTGACATCACAAAGATGACAGAAGTTTTCCATGCAAAGAATATAGAAAATAGATAAATACCAGAAGACATGAGGAAAATATCTATATTTATGGGCTCTTATAAAGAAAACTAAAAATTAACTGAAAAGGAGGTGGGGAAATTTCACTCAGAGAGAACTGTAGCAGGACCATTTTCCTATAGTATTAACACTTGGTCTGTGAAGATAGGGAAAGCATAAGTATAGTATGAGTGTATCTCAGGCAGTAGAACAACAACAAAAATTCTAATGAAAGAGAAAGGAAATTGTGTAGAAAAATGGGCAATGTTTCTAAGAATGTTGAGATACACTAAAACTAAGGATTATAAACTTCATTAGAGAAAAGCTTGGAAAAACTCCAGAAGTCCTAATTCAAAACATAAAAAGACTTCCAAGTATCCTGGAATATCTACAACCAGGAGAGGATAAAAAATAGATTAATGGGACCTTCTAAGAATCAAATCCCTATGTACATCCAAAATTCCTCCAACAGGGTAAAAAGGGAAGTCACAGATTGAGAAAAGATATTTGGTAATGACATGTCAGATAAGGGACTTACATCTAGAAATTAGAATATACTCAAGGACCACAACAAGATAAAGGTAAATAATCCAATAGAAAAATGGCCACAGGATATGAACAGACACTTCACCAAAGATGACATTCAGATGGCCAACAAGCACATGAAGAAATATTCAAAATCCCTAGCCCTCAGAGAGATGCAAATAAAAAAAAACTATGAGATAACATCTCACCCCAATGAGAATAGCAAAATTTAACAGAACAGAAACAACAAATGCTGGTGAGGTTGTGGAGAAACTGGAACACTTATTCACTGTTGGTGGGAGTATAAAATAGTGCAACCACTATGGAAGGGAGTATAGCACTTTTTCAAAAAGTTGCAAATAGAAATACCATTTGACCCAGCAATTCCACTACTGGAAATATATCCTAAAGAAAACATAACCTCCACACAAGAAGGTATATGCACTCCCATGTTTACTGCTGCTTTGTTCACAATAGCAAAGAGTTGGAAACAACCCAAGTGCCTATCACGAAACGAATGGCTAGAAAAACTCTGGTATAGTCACAAAATGGAATACTATGCTGCATTGAAAAGCAAAGAACTCATGAAATATTATCCAAAATGGGTGACCCTAGAGGACATTATGCTGAGTGAAATATCTCAGTCGCAAAAGGACAAATATTGCATAGGGCTACTGTTGTAAAACGTGACTGACATTGAGTTGAGGGAAGACTGAGAAAGAGGGGATAAATAATGTATACTGCATTGAAACAGATGGGGGAGAGGACTGTTTAAAAAGGATATATGATTGGGTATTATTGTCATAAGAGGAGTCTAAAATGAAGGCTGGACAGTGAAGTGGACTTGGGGGAGGTGTTGTATAAGAGTGAAATCCTTTTTCTTTTACTTTTCAAAAAGCAGAGAGGATTGGGGGAGGCAGTTGACAGGGAGAAAAGTGCAAGAATGAATGAATGGAAACCCTAGTCTCTGCAAACTTTCATTAAAATTAATAAAGTATATATTAAAAAAAGAATGCTGAAATTCACTTACCACTGGTTATTGATAGAAAACTGATAATTGAAAGAATTTTAATTCTAATTGGAATTCCCTTACTACTCTTCCTAGGTGAAGTAATCACTTACCGATGGAATATACCAGAGAGATCTGGTCCTGGACCCAAAGACTCTGCTTGTATCTCCTCGATTTATTATTCTTCAGTGGATCCCATCAAGGTAAAGACAAAATGGGCAAAGTGAGCTCTATGGAGATTAATGTCATAGACAGGAAAATTATGTGAAGAAGCTATTAAACAGATATAATAAGAAATCCAGCCAGAGTCCAGGGCTTGGGGAAATTCTTAATATCCATTTGACTTGTTTAAATAGGAAGAAAAGTGAAGAAAATGCATAGCTCTAGATATTTCTTTTCTGAGGAGTTTCTTTTCCTTTTTATTCTTGGATACTCTCATCTAAAGATCTCTAGATTTGGTGGTCCACATTTATAGTCTTCATTTTACTCTTATTTTGCCTTTCAAACAAATTGTTTTGCTTATATTTCTTCATCTGAATGTGGGTCATCTATTTACACATCTGTCCACAGCCAGCCAACCAGTAATTATGTTCTTTAAAAGTTTGACTACATTTTAAGCATTTTGCTTTGTGTTTCAGAGAATACAAATGTAAGATGCAGTCCTCACGTTGGAAAAGTTTGATCTGATTGTAGAAGACAGTTTGGTATAGAAAAATGTTAACAGCTCTATAAAAAGTATAATAAAATGTTTTAGAGATAAAAGAGGAAAGTGTAAGGAGTTAGGGTAAGAAGCAAGACTAAAGAGTTGTCTACAATAAAAAGTTGCTGAGAGTAAGAAGGTACTTAGAATAAGGAGTTGGAGAAAGGAAAGTAAAGGAGATGTGACAATGAAAAGAACTTGTATTCTAGATCTTTGCAGCAATAGATGTGTTCATATGATGAAGGGAAGGTTATTACAGACAGAAGAAACAGCATGAGGAAAAGTTCTAGTTTGTGAAAATGCATGGTGTGTTTGGAGTCCAGCCTGAATAAAGCATAATAAGTTAAATAGTTCATCTCACCTTTTGCCCAAGATACCTGTGAGAATGAACTCAATACAGTAGAAAAGAGCTGCTGGGAGTCACTGAGAAGTAAGTGTTCTTAACAGATTCAGATGTTTTCCAAAAAGATGAAACTTAAGTTCATCCAATTTTTTTCTCAGAAGAAAGGTATTATAATCTGCTGAAAAGTCAGCTATATAAAAGAAAATAGAACAGAGTCCTGCTCTGACACACATGACATCACCATGAGTTGTAATCAAATCTACAAGATTGTACTTGCTAAAAGTGAAGAGGACTTGGAAAAAAATACTTCAGAATTTTGAAGACTACAGATTTTAAACATGATTTACATCTCAACATCAATAAAACAAAATTCCTCCCCACTGACCTAACAGGCAAAATCATGATAGATGGTGAAAAGATTTAATCCATTAATAATTTCATTTTTCTTGCATCCATCAGAATTAATAGCAGTCATTAAGTCAAAAGACATTTTGCATTGAGAAATTCTCCAGTCAAGAACCCCTCCAAAGTGCTAAAAAGCAAGCATGTCAGTTTAAATACTAAGATTTACCTTATGCAAACCATGTTATTTTCAAATACTTCCTCTACATCTGAAAGTCAGACAATAAATACAAATGGCAGAACCAATGCCTTTGAATTGTACTGTTGGAAAAGAGTAATTAATTCCTCATGTACCGCTAAAAGAACAAGCAAGTCTGTCTTGAAGGAAGCACAACCAGGATGTTCCTTAGAGACAAACATAGTGAAATTCCAACTCACACACTTGAAGCACTTTTCAGAAGGAGACAGTTCTTGGAAAAGGACATCATACTTGATAAGGTAGTGTGTTAGAGGAAGAGAAGAAGACTTCCAACAAAGATGAATTGACAGAGTGGGCTCGAGCATATAGGATAAGGGAAGATTTAGATTTGCTTTTCATAGGGACACTATGAAATATAGTCAAAGTGACTAAACTTACAATACACTACAATAGCTAGTTTTGTGGGTTTTTAAAAAAATTTATTTTTGGTTTATATTGGTTTGAATACACAATTATTATACCATGTGTTTCACTCATGTACATTGTGTTTCACATGTTCCTTAATTTACATTATGTTTCATATGCCCATTTCCATCTATTATGTTTTATAAAATCAATCACCATCAATCTATGTCCACTATTACCCTGCCTTTTCTGGTCTCCACTGCATCTTGCCTGATTCATTGACCTCCTCCCTCCAACCACTAAACTCTACAATCCCATTATCCCCACCACCACCACCATTATTCTCCTTGTCTCCTCTTTTTTGGACTCTTGTACATACCCTGATAGTAATTGTTTTTACAATAATTGTCTCAGGCATTATTTGTCCTAATGTGACTGATTAGTTCACTCAGGATAATGCTTTTCAAAATTATTGCTCCTAAGTGCAGCATAGTATTCCTTTGTGTGAATGTACCACAATTTCTCAATCCTTTCATTTATTGGTGGATTTTTGGGCTGTTTTCATGTTCTTGTGATTGTTAATAACGTTGTTATAAACATAGGTATACAAATCTCTACTGGTATCTCACTTCTATTTTCCTCAGAGTATATTCTTTGCAGTGGAATAGCTGGATCATATGGAATTTCAATGTTCAGCTTTTTGAGGAAATGCCAAATTAACTTCCTGAGTAGTTGTAGTTTTACAATCTCATCAACAGTATATGAGAGTTTCACATCCTCTCCAACATTTATTGTTTGCTGTTTAACACAATCACAATATAGATACGAAATTACTTTTTCAAAAACATAGAAAAGACAACCGGCCAGTTTCTTTGGAGAGGAAAAAGACCCCAAAGCATCAAAGCACTTCTATAAAAGAAAACTGAAGTGAGAGACATAGCACTCACTGGTCTCAAAACATACTGCATAAATATAATAAGCAAAATATCATGGTAATGATACAATAACAGATCCACAGACCAATAGAATTGTGAACCCAGAAATTAACCCATCTACCTACAGTCAACTGGTATTCAACAGGGACACAAAACCTATCAAATTAGGAAATGTCAATCTCTTTAACAAATGATATTGGCAAAACTGCTTGCAGAAAGCTTAGGCAAGATCCACATCTCATACTATACACAAAATAAACCCAAAGTGGATCAGAGATCTAGGATAAAAAGTCTAAAACCATAAAGATCAGACTAGACAAATAGGATGAAACTTAGAAATCCCGTTGTTACTGTTGTTGTTGTTAGGCGCCATCAAATCAAGTATCACTCATAGTGACTCTCTGAACAACAGATCTATCTGAACCACGAACTTGAGTCCGTTTCTACAGACTCGGTGTCAATCCATCTCATTGAAGGTCTTTATTTCTTTTACTGACTCCACTTTCCAAGTATGATGTTCTTTTCCAAGAAATATCCCTAACAACATACTCGAAGTATGTCAGATGAAGCTTTACAATTCTTGCCTCTACGGAGCACTCTGGGTGCCTTGTCTCCAAGACATCTCTTAGTTGTTTTGGTTGTCCCTGAGTATTCAATACTCCAACATCACAACTCAAAATACAACTATGTTGTTGTTGTTGTTATTGTTATGTGCTGTCAACCCACTTGTGACTCAAGAGTGGCTTTATGTTCTGAAGCCTGCCAATTCAATTGTTTCCAACATACCTTGCTCCATTACCCAAGTAATTACCCAATCCACCCCATTCAGTCTTTCTCGCACTATCCCTCCACCCTTCCAAGCATGATGATCTTCCCCAAGGAATGGTCCCTCCTGGCAACATGCCCAAAGTATGTGAAATGGAGCTTCAAAATCCTTGCCTCTAAGGAGCAGCCTGGTTTTGCCCTCTCTAGGACTGACATGTTTGTTCTCTTAGCAGTCCATGGTATGTTTGATACTCATTTCAAGCACCACAACTCAAAGGCATTGCCTAACCTATAGTACACATAGGCTGATAAATCCATACAGTAATCCACAACCAGTAAAGAATAGCATCAGTGAATGTGAACTAAATATTAAGTCCCTATGTGCACAAAAAAACCCTTTTTCCAAAGGGTGAAAAGAAAACCTACTGAATGGAGAAAACACATTTCACAATAACAGCTCACACAAGGGTCTCATAATTAAAGTTTACAGAATACTACAGTGTCTCTACAAGAAAAACACTGATAACCCAATTACAAAATGAGCAAGAGACAGGGAAAGACTTTTCATTGAGGAATACCTTTGGATCATCAACAGACACATGAAGAAATCTTTAAAATTACTGCCCATAAGAGAGATATAAATCAAAATCACAATGAGATATTGTCTCACTCCAGTAGCAGTGATAAAGTTTAACAGGACAGCAAACAGTTAGTTTTAAAGTAGAGGTGCTTACATCATATTACATTATGAGGAACCACTGAGGATTTAGATTTACGTTTGGCTCCATAGCACATCGACTACGGCTGTTACTCCCCTTCTTCTTCTTCTTCTTCTTTCCTTTAGGACATGTATAGTGGCCTGGTCGGACCCTTGATCATCTGCCAGAAGGGCATCTTGGGACCTTATGGAACACGGAGTGACATAGACCGGGAATTTGCCTTATTGTTCTTGATCTTTGATGAGAACCAATCATGGTATCTGGAGGAAAATGTGGCAACCCATGGGTCTCAAGAGCCAAGCAATATCATTCTACAAGATCAGACTTTCTTGGAGAGCAATAAAATGCATGGTCTGTAGACAAGACCCTTATCCAAAGATATGTCCATTGGTTGGTTGATTGGTTGGTTGGTTGGTTGGGGAAAACATATTTGATTGATTCACGCTAAGGGAACACAAATTCTATATAGGAAAGAAGATGTGAAGGTAATATAAAAGTGGATTTCTGATGGTCTAGTGAGTAAGGAATTGTATTGCCAATGTAGAGGCAGGGGGTTCAAATCCAACAGCTTCTCTGAGACAGAAAGATGGAAAATTTCCTCATGGTGTGACTTACAGCCCCTGCGCACGCATTAGAGAATCACCTATGAGTTGCTTGTGTCTGAACATCAATTATTTGAGTGAATTTTGTTCTGACTATTCCAATATATTGATCCTCTTCACAAGCATGAACTCAATAAAAATTCATAAATTTTATCAGAAATTAATAGAATTCAGCAGAAGATTGGTTGTCTCCTAAAACAGATATATCTATATTTGACTGTGACAAGATAATTAGTTACTGAGGTTTCATGTCTACCAAAGATTTTACTCTATGACCTATATGAAATATTAACTTTGGAAGAAGTATTTCTTACTATTTCAAATTTATATACACAGAGATCTGTGGTCTACATTGGATCAGATACCCATAAGACAGAAAGTAAACTTATTGTCATACTATCAAAATTTAACACAATAAGGAAGACCAAAATAGACATTTTTGAATCTCAACATACCTGGCAAGCTGACCAGATAGGACCCCTCTGCTTAAATCCTAAGTTTAAACTAAAAACAAACAAAAACCCCCCAAATCAAAACAACCTCAAATTTCCTGTATTGTCATCAGGTCGGAACTGACTTATAACTGACCCTCCAATATTTTTCCATGTTTTTAAATTATTTCACCATTCTAGATGAAAAATCTGCTTTTTCAATGAGCCTTAACTTTCATTCGGTCCGTTTACAAGGTTCAATTTACATATAGATTAATGAATTAAAGAAAGCCTCAGGTTATCATATATATGTTCATAGTACATACAAGGAAGACCTTTTTAAACATGTACAGTTATGGATTTTGGAGAGAAACTGCATTCAAATCTTCTATTATTCCGGTGATATGTGTAGCTTTGAAAAACTTTCTAGAAAAATCTTAAATAATATATAATTAATTATATACAATATAATGTTTAAAACATAAAACATGATGTAGATTAATTTTTTTAAATAAAAATATATTTGGGATAGTTTAAAGAGCACTGGAATGCGTGAAGTGAGCTCGCACTATACCTTCTAACCCAAGAGTTTTTTTATATCTGATGATGAAGTAAGAACTTTGTTGTCATTATGCATAGTGGAACAGGCTATTGAATAAAAGGTGATAATGTATCAGCCACTCCATGGGTAAAAAATTGACAGTAAAGATTTGCAGTCTTGAAAACTTAATGGAGAGTTACTGTGAATCAGAACAGCCTCAACTGCTGTGGGTTTGGATTTATTTTGAGGATAAAGTGGTATCTTATTGTCCCACAGATTATAAATATTACTTCGTTGTTGTTATGTACCATAGAGTTGGAACTGACCCATAGCTGATCCTCTGTTGGATTTTAAGGGGCAGTTAATTGCAAGGGAGGAGATTTTTTTCATCCTTCTCCTGTGGAGCAGCTTGTGGATTCAAACTGCACACCTTTAGGGTTGCAGGGCAGCTTCTTGTCACTAGGCCAGCCACCAAAACTGCCTAGATGTTGCTCTACAATCAAGAAATGGTTTCTATTACAACAGAACTTCATTTTCAAATCATATGTTCGGAATGAATAGAGACAGAAGTCTCTGTCATGTGCCCATCTATCTAAACTTTTCAAATATCGATTAATTTATCCATTTAGCAAGTATCAGATTTTTTGTAGGTTTACTCAAAGTAAACATACAAATACTGTTATTATCTGATGAAGGGATATGTAAATAGTATATTTTTCTTCCCTGCCAGCTTCTTAAAGTAGTTGACAAAAAGACAGAAATTATTGAGATCAAATGACAGCTTTATTACTGAAAATGATAATTGAAAAATGGAATTTAATTATGCAACTAAGTGTGCTTTTCTTTTAAGTGTGCTTTCTGATACTCTTGCTGTAATGTGTGTCTTTTCTCACCAAGTTATTGCCAAATAGGGTTCTCCTTTTTTCAGAGACAAAATCTTTTCCATAATGGGGTTAGGGATAATTAGTGTGTATACATTCCTGTGATCAGATTGACCTTGGAGAAAGAAAATCTAGAGGCAATGTTGTTGAATATGCTGGTTTTTTACAAATTAATAAGTTAGTGAGGATAGTCGAGTTGCTCATACTTCTTTCAAATTCACAAGCTGGTAAGGATTGATAAAAAGAGTCTGGAATGTAGGAATATTTCAACATTATGTCTCCTTTTGGGGAGAAAATGTTCTCAAAAAGAAAGAACATGATAAGTTGGAGGAAGGAATCCTTTGGCTATATGAATGAATACTATAATGAATAATTCAGTGTTTTTCAAGCATATTATTTGTCTTGCTAAGAAGCAGTTGGTCTATACATTAATAACATTATGAGTTCTCAATCTTTTTGACCACTTATCGTAGGTTTAGTTGTCTGCTGGAAAGTGCTGAAGAAAATGAGCTAACTATAGTACTATCAAGTTGGAACCAACCCATAGCTGAACCCCCAGAGACAGCAAATAGTACAAGACTTCCCATCTTTCTCCTACAGAGCAGCTGGTAGATTCAAACCATGGATTGGCAGTGCAATTCCTTACCACTAAGCCACCAGAGCTCAGTATTATAGTATTTATACTAACTTTCTACTTATTAGGAACCTATAGGGGATTTTGGTGGCTTATTCTGTAAACAGTTGCATTACTACTTCAAAGACCAAGGCTATCTTCCAGTTTGAATCCAACAGTTGCTCTGAGGGAGAATGAAAAACAATCTTTATAGCCTTGGAAATCCAATAGAGGGTCAGCTATGAGTCAATTCCAACCCAATGAGAATGTAGGGTTTTTGTTTGTTTGGGGAGGGGTAAGGGAGGAAAGGTAGAAAGTACTTTCTGGTGAATTCAAAGAGTAGTACACACAGTGCTGAGAGAGTTCATATGTGAAGGAGGATAAATGAAATGAGAAATATGGAGAGGAGCTAGGAAGTTAAGAGATCTTTCTTGAGGAAGGTGAAGGTTTGACTTGGCTTTGAAAATATGGCTAAAAAGAGAGAGGATTTTGGAAAGTGAAGCTTATAAAACATGAATATGAACATAGATAACATGCATGGGCTATAAGGAGCATGGTTGAAGAAAAGACTGATTGGAATAAAAGTCATGGATAGTGAAAGACGAGTGTGGAAGATGGTTGGAGCTATATTTTGAAGGGTTTTATTAACTAAACTAATGAATCTTATCATTTTGGCAAGTGGAAGTTATTATTTGAAGAAACAAAGTGACAAATTCAGATTAGTTATTTAGAAAGGTAACTCTGATAATACCAGTTTTCAATGATGCTATAATACTGGGAAGATTGATTAGAGGGGAGTAGGTAGACTAAATAAAGATGAGACAAGTTAGGAGGTCAATGTTATCATAAGAATTAATAGAAGCATTACATGTTGGGTTTCTAACAGAAAGGTTGAAAGTTTGAATCTACCAGCCACTTCATAAGAGAAAAAAGAGGCAGCCTCGAAAATGAAATTGAAACATCAGAAGTCAGATCAACAGCAGTGGGTTTGGTTTTCAATGACCATGGGGCAAGGTATTTAAAAAAATATCTAAGAGAGGTTTTTGTGTTTGCTTGTTTTTTCGGTATTTTTTAATTTTTGTTTGTTTGTTTACAGCCATCAATGGAAAGTTGTATGGTAATCTCAAAGGTCTAACCATGTACCAAGGAGAAAATGTGGCCTGGTATATGCTAGCCATGGGCCAAAATATTGACCTACATACTGTCCACTTCCATGCTGAGAGCTTCCTCTATCAGGTGAGCTGAAAAGATAGGTTCATTAATTGAAGATGAAAGAGATAGTAAAGAATGACATGATAAGTAATTAAAAGAATAGATCTAGGCCGGGAAAAATTGAAGTGTGAATGTTAGTCTGACTGTGTATCTCTGGATTAATTACATGTCTTTATTTTTGCCGTTATGTGCTGTCCAGTCACTTGTGACTCACAACGCTCTGTACAAACGCTCTGAACTCTGCTGTAACTTGAGCCAATTTACTAAAAGAGTAAAAGAGTAACTAATTTATGTTGTCAAGAGATTGAAATAATTAATGTCATTTCATCTCAGTTGAAGGCTTCAAATTTAGTGAGCAGTTTCAAGAGTAATGATTCCAGAATGTCATGTCAGAATCTCTGGAAATCTTTAATCCATTATTCAAAAAAGCTTCAATTCAAGATTTATGTAGAACAAGATACAGGTTTTGGATAATATAATTAAGTCATAGAAAAAGGGAGGTCGAGTTGAAGATATTCTTGTAGACTTAAAAATCTAGACTGTATGGTTTTAAATAAAGAAAAATATGCATCAGAGTTGTATAATTTCACCATACCTATTCAATCTGTATGCTGATCAAATAATCTGACAAGATAATTATGAGGAAGGATTGATGACGGCACCAAGATTGGAAGAGGAATCATCAACAACCTGCAAAATACAAAAGGCACAATCTGGGCTACAAGAAAAAGTGAAGACTTGAAACATTTATTGCTGAAGTTTTTATTATTGCTATAGTTTTTAATAGTCAACATACCAAACTACTCAACATAATGAAATACTCAACATAACAAAAATTTTAAAAAATCCATACAACTTGTCCAATAAACAATATTGTGATAGAGAAAAGATTGAAGTTGTCTAGAAGTTCATTTCACTTGGATCTCAAATCTTCACTCATGAAAAAAGCACTCAAGAAATGAAATGACAGGCTTGGCAGGAATAGCTAAGCCCTAGGAAGCATATGGCCCTAGACATTAGAAAGTGGTTAAAATTATGACCTGCATTGCTGAGAAAATGGCTCTTCCCTGAGTCTTTGTGTATAGCTTCCCTTCAAACCAGTGGCTTCTGAAGAGGAGATGCATGTATGCTTGGACATACATACCTTTCATAGCAGAAAGAATTGGAAGCTACATTGTTGAAAAGTTGTTATTTTCTGAGCCGTTGCTCAGGCAAAAATAGCCACTCTATCCACAACCTGCCCTGGGTGAAGGGGGAGGTACCTGGACATTAGCAACTATGGAAATTTAGGAGCTGCACTATTGGGATCTTGTAATTTTCCTGAGTCTTTTTTCAGAGTAATATATCCTGGGCAGCACTTTCTGAGGCTTTGCCTACCCCTGGGGAAATCTCTTTTTCCCCATTAACATACAGAACAGGACAGAAAAGCAAAACCACCACACTCTGGCAAAGAGAAAGACTCCAGCTCCCTGTATCTCAAAGGACAATCAGATGAAAAGATTTCCACAAGAAATATATTTTTCCATAGAAAGCCAGCAGGTGAAACTTACACAGGGATACTCATAGGAGGCAGCATTTAACATCTGCAAATTATCAAAAGCACCATAAATTTAAAAATAAAATTGCCAACAACCTACACAGACATGATAGAAACTGCCTCTCATATACCAAGAATAATTTTACTTAATGTTAAGAAAGCAGCAGGAAGCTTCAAACATTATGGAAAAACCCAAACAAGGTTTCACCTAAAGAAGCGGATCTCATTGCAGACCCGATGAATATCTCAGAGACAGAGAGGCAGAATAAATATATTAAAGAGTTACATGATTATCTACAGAAAACATTACAAATAATGGAAGAAAGATTTGAAAGCATAAAATAAATACCTCAAACACATTAAGTCAGAAGAAATATATTAATGTTAAGATACCTGAACAGCAAATTAAGAAGTTACAAATGAAAAGGGAAAGAATTTAAACCATAAATAAATAAATAAATAGATAGGTACAAGAACTTTAAAAAAATCACAACAAGACAGAGAGAGTACAGCCAACACAGTACTAGAAATAACAGAAATGTATGAAAATGAAATCCAGAATATCAAAACAAAAAGGCAGAAGTTTCCACTGGAAACTTTCACTGGAGAGACAAAAAAAAAGAACAACAAAAACACAAAATACATCAGAACTGAAGAGATAGAACAGAGACCCAGTCAGTGAGATAGAAGACAAGCACTTCAGTGGGAAGTTACTAGAAGAAAAAATCGAAAGAAGTTAGAAGGAAAATGAAGAAAACATTAGAATTATGTGGGGTAACATCAAACAGAACATCATACCTGTAATCCCAATTTCAGAACAAGAAGAGGATTGGGAAAGTACTAAGAAAGTTGTGGATAAAGTACTAGAAGAATACTTCCCAGGTCTCAGTGAACTTCATTAAGACATGTCACAGTCAAATTCCCTAAAATCAAAGATAAGGATAGAATACTAAAGGCAGCATGAGAAATTCAGTCACATAAAAAAAGCCAAGAAACAAAAACCAAACAAATCAAAACCAATTAGATGTCTCAGCAGAAATCATGTAAACAAGAAAACAATAGGATAGCAAATATGTTGTTGTTAAAAGCTGTCTAGCTGCTTGAGACTCCTAGTGACACTGTGCACAGCAGCTCTGAACCCTGCTGTACCCTGTGCCAACCTTACTGTCTCTGACACACCTATTCCCATTACCCTAGTCACGAAATCAATCTATTTTATTGAGGGTCTTCTTCTCTTACGCTGTCCCTCCATTCTTCTAGACATTATTTCCCTCTCAAAGGACAAGACCCTCCTTCAACATGCCCAGAGTATGTTAGATGAAGCCTCAGAGTCCTTGCCTCCAAGCACCATCCTCATTTTACTTTCTCCAAAATGAACCTATTTGTTCTCCTAGCAGTCCACGGTATATTCAATACTCTTCTCCAGCACCACAGCTCAAAGGCATCAATTCTCTATTATCCCTAGTCATTGTCCAACTTTTTGACACATAGTAAGTAATTCTGAATACTATGGCCTCGATCAAGTGCACCTTAATCTCTAGACTGACATTGTTGCTTTTCAGTACTCTGGAAAGGTCCCTGAAGGTAGACTTTCCCAATGCAATTAATCTTTTAATTTCCTGGCTTATATAGAAGGCTGAAAGGAAACAATTGCAGCTAAAGATCCTGTACCTAGCAAAACTGTACAATCATATATGAAGAAGAAATTAGGTCATTTTCAGAAAAGCACAGACATAAGGATTTCATGAAAACAAGACCAACTTTACCAAATCCTAAGGGAAGTGCTTCACACAGAGAAAGCAAAGGAAAGTAGATGAACCAAAGTAATCAGCAATAGTTCAAAAGGGAACACACAAAAATGGTGATGATAAAACCTGTGTTGGCAATAATCACATTTATTGTGAATGGGATAAATTCACTAATTAAGAGAAAAAGAGCAGTAGAATGGATTTTTAAAAACCAGCAACAACAAAATCAATACAACAAAGCCCATCAATAGGTGGCCTACAAGACTCATATCTAAGAAATGAAGAAACAGACTAAAATAAGTGGAAAGAAAGATACGAAGTAAACGACATCTATAAAAAAGATGGAGTGACAATACTAATTTCTAATAAAATATATTTCAGTATGAAAACCTTCATAAAATAAAAATAAATCAAGAAGATATTAAGTTTGGTCAACATTAACACAACAAATAGTACATCTGCAAATACATAAAGCAACTGTAAACAGAGCTGAAAGACATAGACATGCATCAGTAATAATAGGAGAGTAAACACCCAACACATAACAAAGGACAGGTGAATTCAAAAGAAACTCAACAAAGACGCAGAAAAATTAACCTATACAATTAGCTAACTAGAACTTGTAGACACAGTCAGGGTTGTTGTTATTGTTGTGTACTGTAGAGTCAGAACCGACCTGTAGCTGACAGTCCACCAGCTTTTCAGAGGCAATTAATCACACTGGAGGAGATTGCTCATCCTTCTCCCTTAGAGCAGCTGCTGGCTTTGAACCAAGTGCCTTCGGGATTCAAGTGCAGCTTTTTGCCACTAGGCCAAGGTACTTCAGCAAATTAAAATTTAATTTACTCTTTTCCCAAAAACTTATAGTTCATTCTCTAGAACTGGTCATATATAAAGACAAAAAACAAGCTTCAACAAATGAAAAAAAAACAACCCAAAAGCCAACAGTGAAATAATGTAAAGTATCATCTCAGACCACATTGCCATATAACTAGAAGTAAACAAGAGAATAACGGATAAAAATCCATTTACATGGAAGCTAAGTAACACCCTGCCTGAGGACTACTGGACTGCAGAAGAAATAAAAAGTGAAATAAAAATGTTCCTTGAAACAAATGAAGATACAACTTATAAAAATTTCTGGGATATAGCTAAGGCAGTTCTCAGGGGGCAGTTCATAGGAATAGGAAAACAACTAAAAAAAAAAAAGAAGACACAATTAAGCACTTAACACCTCCAGCAAATAGAAAAAAAAAACAAACAAACAGCAAACTTAGCCCACAGCCGTTAGAAGAAAGAAAATTATAAGGACAAGGGCTGCCATCAATGGGATTGTTGTTGTTGTTATGTGCTGTTGAGTCTCTTGCAACTCAAAACGACCCTATCTACAACACCCTAAACCTTGCTCTATCCCTTGCCAATCTTATTGTCTCTGATACGTCTATCCCTGTTACCCCAGTGATGGAATCAATCCACCTCATCAAGGGTCTTCCTCTCCTGCGCTGTCCCTCTACCCTCCCAAGCATGATAGCCCTCTCCGAGGACTGGTTCCTCCTTGCAACATGTACAAAGTATGTCAGACGAAGCTTCAGAATCCTTGTCTCCGAGAAGCAACCTGGCTTCACCTTCTCCAGAAAGAACTTGTTTGTTCACCTAGCAGTCCATGGTATATTCAATACTCTTCTCCAGCACCACAGCTCAAAGGCACCAATTTTTTTTCTATCATCCCTAGTCATTGT